TTTAGGTTTATACGTATAAGTAACTAAATAATAATATATTATTATTTATAATAATTACTTTACTATAGACGAGAACACGATATATATACACACACACACACACACACACACACACACACACACACACACACACACAAACAAGGAAGCTTAAATTGTAAACTTTTACAATTTTTTATTCATATGAGAACTAAATAGCATTATTTGTAACAAATTAATATTGGAGAGCAGTATATATACAAGCCTTCAAATAATTCTCTGCCCTCTATTCTATCCAGTTATAATTTTTAAAGTATAGTCATGGCCCCGGAGACTTTTGCATGTTTATCTCCACTTGTACACTCTTTCCTTGTGCTTCAAGGATTAAACTAATTTTCCTTGTTTGCTTACATCTACAGTTAAAAGATTTTCCTTCTGACTAAATTTTGTTTTTAGAATCTCATGTTTGAAATATGACAGTTGCACATAGATACAAGAATTTTTTTTTTTTTTTACATGTAATATTTCTTTAATTTGACAACAGGTGATCTAATCAAATGTTGGGAATAATCGTAAAATTTTGATGACATGTAAAGTTTTATAAATGATGTTACTATCAGTTTTTCATTTGTTTTATAAGAATGAAGTCATTTACTGTAATGAAAATGTTACCTTTCAACTTAAGGTGAGCTTATACTATGCCCTCTCTTTTATAAATATTAGATCTTGGATATTTAATTATAAAACTTTCATAGTATGTGAAGGTTTTACAGCTTTAAACAGAAACTGTATAACATTATAATTGGTACAAGAATCAAATGGGTGGGGGGGGGGGGTGTAATTTAAGTTACACCATTAAATTATAATGGTAAAAACTCAAATTGTGATAAATATTTTCCTAAGATTTATTCAAATAATCACATTATAATGAAACTTTCATTAAAGTAGTTTTTTTGTATAATATATTGTTTCACTCGTGAACATTTTATAGTGTTTACTTCTTTTAACCTTTATTATACCCACAACATTTTATAGTGTTTACTTCTTTTAACCTTTATTATACCCA